TGATAAAGGACTGGTACTTCAAACGATCACCTGTAAATTTTTTAAGCATGGTGATCTGTGGTTCAGGTGCCAAAGACGTATCTTCCAGAAGAGGCACTAGTTTGGTATCTACCGATGGAGGAGATACAAGCTTGTGCTTGTAATTCTTGGACTGCTTGCTGTCAGGTTGGTCACTTGTCTCATCAGGGTATCAAGCATTTCAGCCACGTCTGCGAGCTCCATTTCAAAGGCTCAGTTGTTCTGTTGCGGTAACTGTTTAGTAGATGAAGCCCACAATGCAGAGGAGCGCTGAAAGTAGATGGACCAAGTTCGCAGTGCAAAAGGGATCAAAAGGAGAGAGTAGCAGAGGAAGCCAAAGGTCAGGACGGACAGGCAGCACAGGTTCAAAGACGATAATTCAAGCAAGGGTCAAAAGCAGGATACAGCATGTAGTCACTGAAGGTCTTCACACAATCAGGAGCACAGTACAACTGAGCGAGGAGTCAAGGGTTAGTGGAGTTTAAATAGGGAGAGGGGGAGGTCTGCCTACTGGAGCTCCACCCTGGTCTCTACCTCCGGTCCCTTTAAGAAGCCCTGTTTCCGCACTCGTGTGCCATGCAATTCTCCTGAAGCTCTGCCTCCTGTGTGGCCGCATTTGGGAAGCGGCAGCGTCCAAAGCTCTGCCTCCTGTGTTGCCACGTTCGGGGAAGTCACAGCGTCCGCATGAATGCAAGTGGTCGGCATGGGTAGTCAGGCCGGCCGCACTGTCTGAAGGGCTGCACACCGACGCGGCGTCCCTGTGGAGAGAGAGGAAGAGGCAGAGAGGAAGCGCAAGGTGGTGAGTGTGGGAGCAGGGACCAGATAGACACATTGCAGAAGGATACCAAACAGACTAGAATAGCCAATTTTGTAGAAAGTTGCTGGAGAGATAATAAATCATTGTCTTACCAGGATAAAATCAACCCCAAAGAAGGCAAGAGACAGATGGGTCTCTACCAACCAAAACATCTTGGATGGGACGTGCGCCACTGATATAGCCTACCTAAATTAGTTGATGGTGTGGAAGGATTTACCTTGATAATGTAACAGAGAAAGAAAGTTAAGCACTGCAACTACAGGGAGGTCCATAAATATTGGGACATCGACAGAAGTCTAATCTTTTTGGCTCTATACACCAACACAACGGGTTTGAAATGAAACAAATGAGGCACATATACAAACTGTTGTAATTCCTACACCGTTCACCTGATTTGGATGTAAATACCCTGAAATTAAAGCTGAAATCTGCAGTTAAAGCACATCTTGTTTAATTTCAAATCCATTGTGGTGGTGTATAGAGCCAAAAAGATTAGAATTGTGTCGATGTCCCAATATTTATGGACCTGACTATATGTATGCTGTAAAGGGATCCACTTGTTCCTCCATGCCAAGCTAACAGGTATACCTGGTGGCTACCCGAAGCCCAGCAGTCATAGCAATACTTGAGCTACCTGACATATCTCAGAAACTCTGGTAATCAACCAAGCCCCCAGTGGCATATAGTCCTGCAGGATTAACGGGTGTGAGTGTATTTGTGAAGGGTGAGGAGGTAGAAGTAGAGAATCTGTCGCCGCAATTTCCTGCAGGTTTAAGGCTCAAGGCTGTGACTGCCTGAATGGAGTCACCAACACGATTGACACAAGGTGTAGGATGCAAGCAATCTTGGTGAAAGGCAGGACAGCGTTGGCACCCATCACTGGCCATATCTGTAGAAAAGTGTCCACTGCCAAGGGTGGGAGGGTAGGTGGAATGTTCAGAGGGGTTGATGAGGAGTGATGTGGATCATCGGAATCTAAATTAGTGCGGTCTTGTATTGTTGAGGATTTAGTTCAGAATTCTGCAAGGACTGACCAAGGCCATTGTTTGAAGGTCTCAGGTATAAGCATCATCTTAAAACCATAATAGGGGAGAAGCTCAGATGGAAGCAAACAGACAGTTGTTAGCGCCTTTAAGGTGCCAGCACCCTGAAGGCAGTTAGCAGAATACATAGTGTACAGAAACAGAACATCTGGGGGGGTCACCGATAGCTGTTCGGTGGTTGTAAATAACAGAGAAATGGTGGGTTACACCCAATCCTGCACTGACCAGGTCACACCTACAGGGAATCACCAATAGTCCTGGAAGCTCTGACAGAGCAAAAAGTAGTAGTAGGGTGGAGTAACGGATCACCTGGCACCCCGACTGGGCACCTCCACCAAAGGAGGACAAACCGCAGCACTTCTGCCTACAGCCACCGTGGCTTGACTGGGGCCCTAGAACCGCTCCTTCCTGAAGCCGAATGGGGAATTAGCTCTAGTCCTTACAAGGACTTTCCCCGTTGAATCCCCTGCAAGCTGGAACAACAGACACAGGAGTAAATCTTCTTTCCCTCCAATAACTGGACGACACACAGTTTTGGAGTGTAAGCTAGAATCTCAAGTTTAATGGGACACACTGGCCTTTTATACAATTTTCCAGGCCAGAGGTACATCCCTGATGGGACACAGGAACACAAAGGACATAAACCAATCAGAACAAACATGCAGTCTCATGTACAGCACAGAATCCCTCCCCTCTGCTTAGGAGATAATTGAGTAAAGTCCTGTAAGTAACTCAATTATCTCCAGGGAGAAATACCACATTTTCACAAAGTTCTGAAAGTACCCCAAAATCCAACATATCCCCATAAAAGTCCCCTGATAGGCCCAATCTGGGTGGACAACATATCCAAAAATCACCCAGATCGGTTCAGGGGTTCAGGAATTTCCTGGAAGTCATAGTTTTGACCGACCGCAAGCATGGCCCCATGCCAAAAACAGTTCCAGGGAAATCAGTGCTAACAGTCGGTCTAGTTTGGTAGTCTTCTACAGGTTTCCCTGCAGGGCCCATAGTCTGTGGGCAGGAGGCTGGCAAGCAGGCTCCTCCAGGAGCTCGTGGCAAACTCACTTGAAAAGGGGAGTTTGTCACAGGTGGATATGCCACAATTCTAACCCTAAAGGGTGATAAATGGAAAGAGTGGTTTGGTAGCTGAGAAAGGAAGCACTGAGGTAAACCTGGTGGGTGGATCATATAAAAAAAATGCATTAATAAATGCATTGTATGTAACCAAAGGAGAAGTAACCCCCAAGTCAAATCCTATGTGAAAATAATAGAGAATAGTGCTCAGAACAACAACAAAATGGGGTTCACCCAGGTAACAATGCAGTAGTCAAATAATGATATCAGTACCACATACAGTCAGTACATTCATAAGTTATCTATAAATGGTAGACCTACCAGGGTTCCCTGAGAGACAAAAACAATCTCTGAGTGACGGCAGAACGATCCTGTAACAGGTGTTCCGAAATCCCTCATATTGAGACACAAATAAAAAAATGGTCACTTAGTTGCAGAATTTCAGTGAAGGCAAGGAGGTCAGCGTATGTCGCTTAGCCAAAGGATTGCCACGTGGGAAAGGAAAAAAAGCCACAGGTGCAGAGCAAAGCAAAACTCTGACCTTGTGGTGAGGAGAAGCCGTGAGCATGCAGGGTCGGAGATCAGGAGGGAAGTTTGGCAAACGAAATGTCCACCACGAGATCACGGTCAAAGTGTGAAAGGGCAACAGAGGGAAGCACAGAATGTGCGCTGAAACAGAGGCCCAAAAGTGTGTTAGAGAGAAAAAAAAAGGTTAAGAGGGTTTATAAGTAGTGATGTCGCGAACCCGAAATTTTCGGTTCGCGAACGGCGAACGCGAACTTCCGCAAATGTTCGCGAACCGGCGAACCGCCCGAAACGCCATTGACTTCAATGGGGAGGCGAATTTTAAAACACACAGGGACTCTTTCTGGCCACAATAGGGATGGAAAAGTTGTTTCAAGGGGACTAACACCTGGACTGTGGCATGCCGGAGGGGGATCCATGGCAAAACTCCCATGGAAAATTACACAGTTGATACAGAGTCTGGTTTTAATCCATAAAGGGCAGAAATCACCTAACATTCCTAAATCACAATCAATATGGATTGACACCTGACATATGACATATTGACACCTTGACATATGGATTGACACCTGTCCTCAGAGCCCCTGATGCACACGGACACAGAGCAGAATAGAGACTGGTCCCCCTACATAGGGTCACTTGGCAAATATGGATTGACACCTGTCCTAAGGATCCCTGATACACACTGACACAGAGCAGAATAGGGACTGTTCCCCCTACATCGGGTCACTTGGCAGATATGGATTGACACCTGTCCTAAGGTTCCCTGGTACACACTGACACAGAGCAGAATAGGGACTGGTCCCCCTACATCGGGTCACTTGGCAGATATGGATTGACACCTTGTTACAAACTGCTATTTGTAACGGGCCCTTTAAATGGCAAATTGCCCTGCTTCCCTGGGCTGTGGAGAAGCCTACTTGCCAGCCTCCTCCCGCATGACTATGGCCCCTGGGAGATTGTGAAAATGTATGCACTTTTATTTGGTGTGTATGGCCCTTTAAGACTGTCGGTGGGCATATTGGGGCTTATGGACTCTTTATGTGACTGGTGCTGGCCCTTTAAACACCTTTTTTGGGACATCAGGAAGATTGGGACACTGCCCCTTTAAGGCCGTGTCCCCAGACTTGTTGGGGACACGGCCCCTTTAAGACGGTGTCCCCTGTGTCCCCAGACCTGGTGCAAACCCTTTGTGCCTGCCTTGCTATTTCCCACTTGGTTCAGTAAATGGGAAATTATTTCAGCTGCAGAGACTAAGTCCCATTCGGCGATGGGACTTAGTCTTTTTTTCAGCCGTTTTTTTCAGCCTTATTTCAGCTGCAGAGACTAAGTCCCATTCGCGATGGGACTTAGTCGTTTTTTCAGCCTGAAATAGACCGACCTCACAGCCCAAATCTATGGAACTGTTTTGGGCAGGAAAATGTGCTTGCGGTCGGTCATAAAGGGACCTCCAGCTAACTTTTTAACCCCTGGATGGATTTGGCTGATTTTTGGTTATGTTTATGTTTTAAGTGTGCTGATTCCAAATATGTAATTATGAAGATGGGATGTGTAGTTTTAAAGTTACAGGGTATGGCTAAAAACTGTATTTTTACTGCCTGTGTTTAATTATGTTAATCTCTTCCCAAACGTCATTTCGTTCAAAGTGGAGAGAATGTTAAAAAAATATATTTTTGTTCGGAGTGTGAGAAATGCTTTTCAGCCGCTTCTAATCTTAAGCATCATTTGAGGAGCCATACAGGAGAGAAACCTTATTTGTGGTGTGTTTAGTATTGTTCTGATCAGTTTAATACCTTCCGCGTCTCCTATCAGTGGACGTGTATATGGCAGCCATTTTAGGAACCGTACACCTGGGACCCGAGCAAGGTCACCTCGTTCAACAGGCGACAACATTTGTCCCTGGAAAACTATCCTGGACATTCTGTACAATTTGTATGGATATGGCAGTGATTTCTGTAACAGGGAGATGGAAGAAGATGCTTGGTCGGTCCTCTTAATTCAAATTTGGGGCACTGCGCGGTCAAGCTAATGTGCCACCAGATAGGAGTGGTGTGTTTAGTATTTTTCTGATCAGTTTAATACCTTCCGCGTCTCCTATCAGTGGACGTGTATATGGCAGCCATTTTAGGAACCGTACACCTGGGACCCGAGCAAGGTCACCTCGTTCAACAGCCTTGCAGCATATCCTCCAGGAAGAAGAGCCTGAACCCTTACCGGCTGCACGTGTCTTACCTGTACATGGAAAGCTGCTGTGGTTCCTTGATGAGCCAGCTGCCCGTGAGTTAACATGTCCCGTGATGAAGCACTCTGTCCTGTAAAGCCTCACCAAAAAAAAGGAGTGGTGTGTTTAGTATTGTACTGATCAGTTTAATACCTTCCGCGTCTCCTATCAGTGGACGTGTACACGGCATTGATTTTTGTAACAGGGAGATGGAAGAAGAGGCTTGGTCGGTCCTCTTACTGCAAATTTGGGGCACTGCGCGGTCAAGCTAATGACACCAGATAGGAGTGGTGTGTTTAGTACTATTTTTATCAGTTTAATACCTTCCGCGTCTCCTATCAGTGGACGTGTACACGGCATTGATTTTTGTAACAGG